ATGTGATGACTCTTTTTAAACTCAATTCTTTCAAAATCTCTCTTTGGTTAACTTTTCAGACCCTTTCTCTCTTCTAGGACTCCCATAATGCAAATATTGTTTCACTTAATGTTGTCCCAGAATTCACATAGGCTTTTTTCACTCCTTTTCATTCTTATTTATTTTTCTCCTCTGAGTGTAATATTAAAGATCTGTCTTCAAGTTTGCAGATTAATTCTTCTGCTTGATTAAGCCTTTTTTGAAGCTCTCTATTGCATTTTTTTCATTTTATTCATTGCATCCTTTAGCTCCAGAATTTCTGTTTGGTTCATTGTGATTTCTCTCTCTTTGTTGAACTTCTCATCTTGTTCATGCATTGAGTTCCTAAGCTCATTGGGTTCTCTGTGGTCTCTTGAATCTCACTGTACTACCTTAAAATAATTATTTTTAATACTTTTTCAGTTGACTCATAGATCTCTATTTCTTTGGTGTTGGGTACTGGAAAATTATTGATGGTATCATGTTTCCTTACTTTTTCATGTTTCTAGTGGCTTTACATTGATGCCTGTGCCTTTGAGGGAGCAGTCAGCTCTTCTGCATTTTTTAAAGACTAACATTGGTTAGGAAAGACTTTTCTCTGAAGGTGGCCATGAGGGCTTTGGCTGGATGGATGCAGCATCTCTGATTCTGGGGAGAGCACAGTGGCATAGTTTCCATACATCCATCAACAAGGTCAACTTTGGTCAAGACTGCATTGTCTTTGGTGGCCAAGACTGTGGAGGTCCTGCAAGTGGCAGTGGTGCCTAGGACTCTTGGGGGGGTCTTCCTGGTCTCCTTTCCTGCCTGTGGGAGGATGTGCTAGACAAGGCTATCCCACTTGGTTTCAGGCACTCAGAGCAGCTGGGGTGCTGAGGTCAGGTACATGTGGAACTACCGCAGTGCCTGGGTCCTGGGGCACAGGTGCACTTACTGCAATAGTAATGCTAGTGTCTTAGATGCAGACATGTGCAGGTCTCCTGGGGAACCCCGGTCTGAGTCTCTGAGACGCACCACAGTATTTGAGCCCGAGGGTGGGGGCCCCAGCAGTGGCTAGGGTGCAGCAGCAGATGCCCTGGAATGGTGGGTCCAAGTCCCAACTCTGGCCCTCAGGGGGCAGGGGGCAGAGCAGCAGCAGCTCAACCTCAGGGATGCCAGGTCAAAGCCATGACTCGGGACCCAAGGATGGGACATAGAGCTGCAACAGTACTGCCCAGTGATGGCAAGTGAGTGCCATGACGTCAGACTCACAGAGTGGGCCAGAGAGCAGCAGCTGCAGGAGCACTGCCCAGTGGAGCTGACTTAGAATCTGAGAGACCGGGCACAGAGAGCAGCAGCAACTCCCCGTCCTTAGATGGTGAGGTGCTGGGGTGTCCCAACCCAGAGAGTGGGCACAGCATCAGGTGGGCCCGGGGGCAGGTCTCACAGCAGCAGCAGCCCAGCCACCATGAGGAGACAGCAGTGGGGATCCATGCAGCTCCAGCAGCAGGGCCCAGTGTCGTGGCCAAGGCTGCAAATGGCCATGGCAGTGATGAGACTTTCTGAGGTGCCCCTGCTCTCCTTTCCCCTGGGGTAAAATTCACCTGAGGGAGTCCCTCTGCTCTGAGCTGCTTGAACTGGGGGTGGGGTGACGCAGGTAAAATGCTTCCCACACTTCTAAGTGGCCAGGCTTGTTCCTCAGCCCCACAGGGTCCTGCTTCTTTGTTGTAGTTCTGAGCTTTCCCAGAGCTGTTTCTGCATGTTGGTAGTTGTTTGTTTATTGTTTTTGTGGGAGATGAGCTTTGGGACTCTCTAGCCTGCCTTGCTGAGGTCAGTCCCTACAATGAAACTCTTATTTTATTTCAAGTTTGAGAAAGTAGGAAGGAGTCAGGAAAGGTGGTAGTGAGAATAAAATGTACATCTCAGCTGGGTGGAGGACAGGTTTAGACTGTGGCATAAATAACACACGCAAGTATATTCAAGTTGGAATAACAGGATGTGTTTTATAGAATGTCTTCTTTTGCTTAAGATAAATATTAATCTTTTACTGTCATAGTAATGTGTATTCTTTAAAATGTGCAATTTATGGTGACCCACAACAAAGCAGAAGTAAACCAATTTGAGATTTAAATGTTTTCTCTAGTTTATCCATATTCAAGTAAGCAAAAAAGTGCACAGTCATGAGTTAATTTCCCCACCCATGCCCATGCAGTAGATAGCATCTGTGTCTGCTTATCCAGGTATATTGAGGTTCTGGTAACAGGTCATAATTTGGTGCTGAGTGAATAAATGAATGTAAAAGCTGGGAGCTCACTTGATCCTCAATTTTTTTAAAAAAGGCATAGTAACTTCAATTGGTCCTTTAAAAAAAAGAAACCCAAATATTATCTTTGCTACTTTACTGGTAACATGCTAAAATGTCTGAGCTATTCAACAAATTCACATAGGAGCAACTAGTAGTCGAGTACAGACCTTTATTAAATCAATAATAAATCTTAAGTGGCATACGGAAGAAGCTGGTTTATTGGGGAAGTCTGATTTGGTTATTGATTGATTTATTCTTTTCAGTAGTGAGGTGTGGTCCTGGCTGTTCCCGGTCAGGGTCTGCAGAGTGTCTGTGAAGACATAGAACTGGGATCAGTCATAGGATCTGACAGTGGAGAGTAAGTGGGATACAGTGTGTTTCGTGAGAATGTGGCCTCTGGAAGGCCCTCACACCAAGCGATGTTTAAATTTAGTTTCAACATTTGCAACACAAATAAAGAGAATTTCACAGTTGACACAAAGATGAGTTGTCTTCATCCATCTTCCTTTAAAGTTGCTTACTCTGAAAAAGATGCCAAATTTTCGACGTTCCCATAATCACCCTACACAGACAGCACACATCCTTTGTACATCAAAAGGAACAGCAGTGACTCAGGGTGAGGGACCCTGGGGGATTGGTTTGCTGAAATTGCCCTTCGCTAATTACACAGGCATGTTTGTTCCTCCTCTATTTTAGAATTAGAATAGGAAGCCCTTCGTCCAGAAATCTGGATCAGCTTGGCTACTGGGGATCTGTTACTATAAGCCTGCGATCTTCTCACTGTTTGCAAAGGTGAACTGATTTTCTTAAAAGTGACCTTTTCAGCCCTAGGGAGAACCACTTCATACTGCCCACCCTGGAAAGATTAAACTCGGTAAGTTCGTAGGTACATTCAGCCAAGACTCTTCTGCGCCGAACTTCGTTCTCATGCAGGGCTCACTCAGCCACTTACCGGGGAGAGAAATCCGGCTTCACCCCAGGTCCATTTATCTCCATGTAAACCGTCCCTGTGCTTCAATATTATGTGATGTGAAAGGTTGTCGCTGTGGTTGTAACATTTAAAATATCAAGGTCCAGAAACACAGTATTACTCGGGCGGAAGCCTCTCAGGCAGCCTTGGTGGTGGGCTGTGCGGAGGCCTGAGGCTCCCGCCTGTGGTTGCGGGAAGACACTCTATCCATCGCTGCGAGTTATTTGTGGCTCCCTGAGGAGTGCAGTTAGCACTGCTCTCAGCGCAGGCTCTCAGGGGTGGACGTGGAACTTTCTAGTTCCTATTAGGATGTTTGCTCCAGCCCAGAGGTGTCCTCTGGCACAAAAAGCCTGATGTCAGGAACGAACTCACCGGGGAGCCCTGAGGAGTGGGCGAGGGATGTGCCCGTCTTCTCATCCTTGAGCCGCGGCTCTGGGGTGAGCTGCAGCCCCGCTCCAGCCTGACACCCACAGGAAATCCCGTACACGCCGGCTGTTTGGAAGGGATGCATGTGCCGTGAACTGGTTTTATGATTAACAGAAAGTTATTGAAAAAAGCATTTTTGTTTCACCTCGTATTGGTAGAAGTCTTTAAAAGCTTGGGGCTCACTTACCTTTTTTGCAATGTAATTACAAGTGGATTTCAGTCATTTTTTTAGAATTAAACTGTACAGTACGTCCATGGCATTAGCTTCATCATAAAAGCTCATTCTGCATTTCCGACAAGATGCTGTAGAAGGTACATTTATTGGACTGAAAGTGTCCAGATTCCCGAATAGCCCCAGAGCTATTAGCTTAGAGGGGAAAGTCCCTGATACAGATTTTATAATTGTTTCCACTTTTCTGAAAACATTATAGGAAAGTGGCATCTAATTGAGGGTTATGAATTGTCTGAATGTGACTTCACAGTGTAAATATTGAGCGCTGTGGTGGTGAGGGCGGTCATTTTACTCCTGCGCCGTGGGTTTCAGTTCTGCTCCACGCCGGTCTCGCTGCGAGGCGCAGGGCCAGTCACAGAGGCCTGGGTAGCCCAGCTCTTCCAGCTCCGGAGGCAGACAGCTCTTGGGGTGAAAAGTCATGCGTTTCGCTTTGTTTGAAGAAATATATTGTGATTAGTATCCACTTTCCCATTTTCTTTCATGGGACTGTTTATCCAATCATGAATATCCACAGCTACACTGCATGTGCATGCGTGTATATGAAGTTATGTGAGATGCGAGCCTTCTATAACGTCTGTAATGTACAGAACTCCTTAGAGACCGTTTTCAGGGGGAGGAACGGCCTCTATTAGTGCCTGTTCCCAGAGCTTTGCATGGAGACTATAAATTAGGCCTTGGAAGGCTATAATGAGCCAGTAATTTATAGACTATTAAGATACTTAGTTAGAAATGATTCTTGAGCATGTCCAATAGGGAACACATGTTTACAAAGGACAAACAGATTCGACACAACATGTCTTTAACCTAACCAAGTCCAGGCAATTACAACATGGGATGTCTTATTTTGCCTATCTCCCACTCCCCCAAAATAGGATCCCTAGCCACTTGTTAAACCACATTGACTTTTTAATAGACAAAGCAGCTGCTAGAGCTTTGCCACCAGAACTGTTCAGATTAAGCCCCTGTTAGAGTGCGGCCGGCCGGCCACAGCCCAGGACGAAGCTCCCCTTGCGTCGTGCCTCCTTTCCTGGTCGACTTGTGATAATTCATTGCAGATTTCTTCTTCTCCACAGAGTGCCTACCGCAGGAACGGGATGGCTTTTCTGGCCTGCTGACGTGGCTGGGGCTGGACCGCGGGAAAGGCAATGCTCCGGGAAGGTGATGTCTGTTCCCCCGTGTGGACAAAGTAAAGACACGCTGACCTTCTCTGCACCCTCAGGAGTGGGCCGGTTTGTTGTGACTGTTGAGGGGCTGACTCCAGCCCTTCCCCAGCCCCCTCAGCGCCTAGTCTTGTTTACTGGATGGGCCGTTGGCTAATTAATGGCAGGATGTTTGGGAGAGTGTGTAGGTGGACAAGAATGCGGATCACACAATTTTGAAATTTTAATTTGGAATGGATTTACTGCCCTCAGCTCACATATCTTAAAAGCAGTGTCTTTTTTTTTTTCAGTGTTTAGTCTATGTTTTACTTGATGCATTTAGTAATCCAAGTTTGGGACAAAGGAAACAAAATTAAAAGGACAGTCAGCTTTCCCCTTGCACTTTACTTTCCAACTTTGTTGACTACATCCACGGGGACTTGAGAGACAAATGTCTATTTTATAAACTCACAGGAATCGAAGATCGAGGGGACCTGATGAACTCTGTTCCCGTCCTCGCCTCCCTGCTCCCACTTACAGTGTATGTCATGTTCGTGCCTTCCTCCCAGCTCTCTGCATGTCTGCCTGGTGTGTGTTTTTCCGCATCCAGACCCTCTCCCCATCGTCAGCTCTCTGCTTCCCTGTCCCCGTCGTCCCAGGCCGCCGCTCTCACACACACCCTCCCCTTCAGTAGCAGGGTGGTCAGAGTCTTAGCAGGGGAGCGAGGAGGTGCTCTCCCAGCACCGCCACCCTGAGGCTGCGCATGTGGACAGGAACTGCCGGTAGCAGCTGAGCTACCCTCTGGCATCTATACTTTCTCCAGTAAGCGAGGAACTGGCACCCTCGGGAACAAATCAAAATAGAGCAGACGTAATTGTCCGGTTCCTGATTAGACTTGAATTGCAAAAGAACACAGGAAGTTATTCCTTTAAATTCGTAGGAGTTTGTGTAATTTTACTTTTATCATGGCTTTTACTCACACTGAGACAGCCTTTGTAAAGAATTAATAGGAACAGAAATGGGAAACATGGAAAGTTTTGTCTGGTGACCAAAATCATTGTGCAGCCCAGTGAACATGATGGGGCCACGTTGTTCCCGTGTGTTAACTATCACTTACCTGCTCTGTGTTAGTCCTTCTGGAAAAAATCTTTATGTCAAGGACAGAAAGTGCAGATATATAATATCAGACATTTCCAAAGGGTTTTGATGTTCCATCTGTGTTGTTAAAATGTATGATTAAACTTTTCTTTTTATCATCATTCTTATTTTTCTTGGCGTCCCTAATCATAGAAAATTATAAGCTTGCAGTAAACATCCTAACTTTTAAAACGACAGCATTTATTGTATTTGGTTTCGATCTGCCTGGCTTATTGATGTATAAAATTTTCAGGGGCTATTTTTTCACATCAAAATTCCTTCTCTTCCCACATTATACATTTTAAAGTATGCACAAGGCAGAAAATATAGGGTTTAGGGTTTTCCCTTCATTTTATTCTACCTGATCTCCTTATACTCCCAGAGAAGGAAGACTCAACGTACATTTCTCTCAGAAATATGACAGGTCTGTGTTTTTGTTGGTCTGGCGTATGTTTGTCTATCTTGAACAGTCTGACAGGTAATTATTTATAAAATCTGGTTTTGCCCAGTAAGTCCATATAATAACCTTTCACTTTCCATCATAAGCCAGTGAGCTGAATTTAGAATAAAACAAGGTCATTTATGTCTGTCCTGAACCAGCCTACATGTCCCCATAATTGCTCAATATTAATATTTTTAATTCTTTTTTTTTTCTTTTCTACCCATAGGTTCTTTCTCTGACTCTTTCCACAACACTAAATTAGAAGTGAAATAAAATTTCCTTAAGCAGTGAATATAGAAAAAAAGAAAGAACATTTCAGAAAATGTGACTTCAATAAACTTCTCTCTAAAGATTAAAATGTTACGTAGATTCGTAAAATGTTAGAGCAGAAGATGGTCTTAAAGATCATTGAAATAACCACTAGTTTCACAGATAAAAACACATTGCCCAGGGAGGGAAACCGACGTCCCCAGATAGCTCAGCAAAGGCAGGGGCACCAGAGCCAGGTGGTGTCCCCAGTTCCCAGGCTGGCAGCGTGCTCCATGCTGGGCTCGCTACGACATTACCAAGACACGTTGCTTCTATGGCATGTGTGCCTTAGACGTGTTATATTAAAATTTTCTTCAAAGGGACTGGTATTCATTAAATAATCTGTCAATTACACAATTTTTTTTTAAAGAAGTCTGCAAGCAAGGGAGAGAGGAATTAACCTACTTTGAGACCTACTTTGTGTCAGGAAGTGGACCTCTGGCATTTCTTCTGTCTTCACAATGACCTAATGAGGTACATGCTATAAAACAAAACAAAAAATAAACACAAAAATCATACTCACCTCTAAATCAAATGTGAATACACAAAATAGTTTCTATTTTTGTAGGCTTGTGTTTTGGAGATCAAATTTGAAAATAAAACCAGAAAATAAGTGAATAGCCTCTCTCGTGGGAGATTGACACTGCCTCATAGATTTGAGAGTAAAGGAAATAGAAATACTTCTCCCTTCACCTCAATTTGAAAATTCGACTTTCTGGACATGTCATTTTATAGCTATGTCTTTAACCTTCCCGTCTTCACACACTGCAGTAGCTGAGATCCAACAGTAATGTCCCAGCTCTGGCCGGGTAGCTCAGTTAGTTAGAGCATCCTCCTATGTGCCAAGGTTCTGGGTTCCATCCCCGGTCAGGGCACAAGAATCAACCAATGAGTGCATCAATAAGTGCAACACCAAACTGATCTTACTCTCTTTTTCTCTCTCGCGTCAATAAACAATAATGTTCCAATTTTAGGACTAAGAATTTTTTAAAAAAACAAAAGCATAAATATTTTTTAAATTATGTACGTACTTCCTGTATGTGGGGAGAATTCTTCAGTTATTACTGTTTGTCCTTTGTTTCTATAAAATAATAAATAATCACATTTAATGCTTTTACCATGTAGAAGATAAATAAACATAACTGGTGATTCTTGTTCTGAAAGAAAATATGTTTACTTGTCTAGAAATTGTAAAGTTTAATTTTATGAAAAAGAATTTATATAGTTCCCATATCAGATATTTCTTCCCAGTTCATGTAAACCCTTGTGTAAAACTGAATCACTACAGAGAAACTATTCCCTCATCTGCCCTCCTGGAATTTAGATAGAACCGTCCCAGGTTGCGTTTAAAATTTTACCATCAACCATGTACACATCTCATAAAATATTTTACAGTTTCCTGTATGCTCTGGCTGAACATTTCATAGTACATAAACACTTCTGCAAATAATATCGGGCATCAAACTGAACATGTCACGGCAGTGGCCCCACTAAAGCTGAGTGTCCAGCAATTTATTTTCTTATTTTTATCTTCTTATTTGAAAGCCACGGTGAAACTGTGTGCTCTGGTTGTGCAGTGGCAGGGGCGGGGTCCGGCGGTTTGAGGGGAGCTGTGTTCATCAAGCAGGGGCTCTGCAGAAGGCAGCCCGCCGAGCTTCAGCAACAGAACCGTGCCTGCAGGAGCCGGAGGGAAATGTGACAGCTAAATAAGGGCCAGATGCCTTAAAAAGCTCGGATATTAAAAAGTCATATCTCTTCAAGCAAGTCTCTCGTGTTGTGAATAGGACAGTGATATCATAGCACTTAAAAAGAGAAACAAAAAAAGAAACTGGCATTTGTGTTTTGGAACAAAATAGCAAATATTTAAGCTGTCATAAGTCATGGGAATTTTGACAATTGAAGCTGATTTTAAAACAATTAATTCTTACAAAGTCACGAGAAGCCCACATACAGTATTTCATTGTTGGAAACCACGGTGATTCTGTATGGAGCGTTATATTCATGTTCTCTTTTCTGCTCATCACCACCCAACAATATCCACTATTCTCATTATTCTCCAAAGGAAAATAGAAATAGAAAAAATACAGGAAAACTTAATAATCAAGATGATTGCTTACATAATTTCACTTACACCAACTGTACTTGCTATTAAAAATGATGATGCATTGTATCAGTATTTTAATAATAAGTTTGACACAATTATGGCACACCCTATGCCACCCTGTGCGCCAAACACTTTGTGTGGGTTGTCTCACTAAATACAACCCCACCACAAGAAACGCACGTTCTCTCCCTGTCGCCTTTGGGCAGTAGTGGGGAAACTGAGGAGCAGAAGGCTCAGTGCTTATGCGGAGGTACCCACGGTGGAGTTGGCGTCCGTGCCCAGCACGCTGACCCCAACGCTCACGCTCATAACCACTGAGACACGGCATGGAGTTTTCGCGAATAAAGAGTTCTAGGGGCTTGTCAGAGAGGATTGCTCCCAAACCTGGAAGCGCTTCTCAGCACAAAAAAACTGATTACAAGAGAATTCCATTTTAACTATCCTTCTTGAAGGCCAAGTGTTGTGTATATAATAGAATATCATATAATGTATAATAGAATATAATTATATAGACTGATGCCAAGTCCTCTATCATGTCTTAAGCCATAAGATAAATAAATATGATGAATGCACATACTAAGCATCATTATACAGATTATGAACGAAATGTCCTCAAAGGTCCACGTGTATCAAGCCTCCCCTTGCGAAGATGAGATCTCTCCAAAAAGTTCTCGTTACTTAGGCTGCTGTTGTATTCTTTCATGCAGGTATGTAGCTCGTGTTATATAAGTCCCCACCTTGTTTGCATGTGTCTGCCGCGGCACACGGAGTCCCCATGGCAGTCCTTGGAGCTCCAGCCACAGCCTCTCGCGGGTGTTTGCTCATTACTTACGTCATCGTTTCTCCAGGCCCCAGGAGGCCCGGGTGCTGGAGGGGTGCGGTGAGCAGAGGTCAAGAAGAAGGCCGTGGAGCACAGCTTGAGTTAGCAGTGATCCTTGTTCCTCTCATCAGGGGTTGGCAGCCTTTTCCCTCCAAACCCTAGGTCTGTGCTGCCTCAGCACGAGTCATTTTCTGATTTCTGCCTGTTGAGATCCCCTAGCAGCGCACCGGCCCCTGGGCCTGTGGGCCTGCAGCTGCCTTTTCTGAGTGGCCTTGATTGACTTCTTCCAGCCACTTTCCTTGGGAGAAGTGAGTCCACCTAGCAGTGCAGTGGCCAGTCCTCGTCCCTCCTCCCTGACCTGTATGTGTCCATCCGTCAGCAGACCCTGCGTGGCAGTGGCAGTGACACTTCCACACGGCGCAGCAGCAGCAGCGAGACCTCCCATGTTCCTAGTTCACGGGAAGATGCCAGCCCAGCCGGAGGGGCCGATGGCAGAGTCGGAGTCGTGAGTCAGGGAGGCTCCCGTCCTGAATGGCAGCCAAGCAGTGTTTAGTTTGCATCCATACCCAAAAGGAGATGGCGATGGACTGTGCCATGCCTTCCCTCCATCCCCGCAAACCAGGAGGCAAGTGAGAAACTACCTCAGGCAGCTCCTCCCAAGACTGGCTGGCTTGCCACTTCCCCGAGTGATCACAGAGCGTGGGATCTTACCCAGGCGGCCTGTGTGGGGACGTGCGACATCACTGGGCGCCTTTTCCCTGTAATGTGTAGTGCGAGTTTCTGTGAACAGGATGAAAACTCAACCCGCTTCCTCTTTCCTAGGTTTCCATGGTGACCTACTTCCAATAAGTGAACCTCCTGCCCACTTCAGTGCATAGACCTGCTGCTTGCTCTCAACTCTAGTCCCTGTTGGTCTCCATCCTTCCTGAGTGTCCTGATCATCTCTCCCTGGGCTTTGCAGCCTGCCCCAGATTAAGAGTTTCCTGAGGGCAAGTCATGAGTTTACACATCTTTGTAATCACCACATGCACACACTAGGTATTCAATAAACATTTGCTAGTTGGTTAACAGAAAAATTCATTTAAACAGAAGCACAGCATCCTTTTCATTGTTAAGTTAATGGTCTCAGGAAGAGAGGGCTCGATCTCACTTATCCTGCTAAAGATTTAAGGAACCATCCTGTCCTATACAAACATAATCTACACAAACGTAAAAAAGAATTATAGACTCACTCGCTACTTTTGTATATAGCACAATCTTTAAAAATCTGCTAGCTCTCCCATTGTTTCCTGTAAAGACAATGAACCATTTTAGGATAAAATTTTCTTAAAGGTAATGGAAATAACATTTCCACCAGCCTTAAAGTAAATATGATGATCTGTTCAGACTGAAAATAATGAGATTTTTGTGAACTGGAAGCAACAGTTTATCACCCAAGAATAGCTTG